TGTGACGTTATTTTAATATAGAAGATGTTATAAGAGTTTTGTCAGAAAACAAAACCATATTCTCTATTTGCAAAAACTATTTACCATAGCATTAACAATACCCATCAGTTCGGCTACTTGCGAAAGAAGTTTCAGTGCAATGAGAAAAATAAAAACTTGGCTAAGGACATCCATGCTTCAGGATAGGTTCAGCGATCTTTCTATTCTATATATTGAAAAAGATATGTCCAAAAATATAAATAGCAATGATATTTTGAATATATTTGCTGCTATAAATAGGTATTTGTTATTAAAATAAAATAAAATATTAACTATTAAGTGTTCTTAATTTTTATTACAATATTCATATTTGTATTAGTAATATATAAATATATTACACTTGTGCATGGGAAGGGGGTGCGGGGGTGAAGCCCCTGCGGGTCACTTTACATTGGATTATTATAGCCCCCCTAAAAATTCAACCAAATGTCCGCCTATGGTACCTAGATACATGCAGTGTAGTGTTTAGGCTCATCTCCCTATTATCCTTTAATTATGGATTCGTATAAATTTTTATTTTTGGAATTTTTGAAGTACATATATTTTCAAATGCTCAGATTTTTATGCCATTTAAGGAATAATGAATATATACTGTGGTTTGTGACAGTAGAAACTTATATTATCTATTTTTTAATTAAACCTATCGTTTTAAACTTTTTACTGTTAACTGTAAAACATATGATTTTTGTTGTTGAAAATGTTAGTGCATTTAAATCGGAATTTGAACGATCAGTTTTGAGTTATTCGTTATTCAACTTTATGAACTAAATGAGAATAATTGCCCATGATAATAGGTTTAAATACAAATAATCTATACGACTATACATATAAAATCCAAATACCACTTAGGTAGTCACTGATCACTGTAACTCAAAAACTACGCAACGTACGAACTTGAAATTTGGAATAGAGGTTCTTCTCATATTTTCACCCTGTAATAAGAAAGGATTTGCCGAAATTCGCATTTTAAATAGGTGCTCAAACAGGGACATTGAAGTTCACGACGGAAATTGGAAATTTTATTTTTATTTATTAATAGTTGCTATTGGTTACAGTCTTCAGTAGAAATTAGTATTTATTTATTATTGGTTGCTATTGGTTATTATAGATTGATTATTGAAAGTTAAATCATATACTTACGTACAAATAGCACTGGATCTACCGCAGGTAGATTGCCTACCTGATAATCTACTTCTGCGAATCAAAATTTTTATTCCAGGCTACAGAAAAGTTAAGATACATTTTGAACACCATACACCGAATATTAAATAACGAATTGAACAAAGTATGAGTCATATAGAGTTTGTACATTTAACGGGCAACGAAGTGCACACGATCAGCTAGTTATGCATAAAATAAAAATAGATGTGATGTAATATTTAGTGTAGTATGCTTGTTATAATAAGTACTAAACTAAAAAGTAGTCGTAAAATAGTCAAAATTGTTTACAAATTATAATAATGCATAATTTGTTTTTTTATTTGTATTGTTTGATTACGATGTTTATTTAATAAGCAATGTTGGTCATCAGTTAGTTTTATATCATAAAGACCCCCACTTATTGCAATTCTAATGTATTTTTAAAAACATTTAAAAAGTTCAGGAAACATAATATGTATAATAATATATACCTACGTATATCTAAAGTATTTATTCGAAAATTTGAAAATTTTTGTGAATTTGGACATTTAATATTGTGGATGCTTATATATTATAAAATTAATGACTGATTGTGATTATATAATCCTAAGTTCTATACGTACATAATCTGATAATCATATGTATAATATTTTTGTTATTTGATAATATATATATTATTGCATGCAATTTAGGTTTTAAAGATATTATATTTATTTATTTTTAGAATTTATTAAATTCAATGTAAAAACATAAATAGGTAATTTCATTAATATTATTAAACATCCATGATAGTGATCAACCATTTTTATGACATTTTAGGATTACATTAATTTCATGTGTATATTTTTGAATAACATACATTCAATAAATGTTACATCTAAAAATTCTGTTAGAAATGTGACTTAAAATGTACATTGCTAGGATGTTTTAAAACATTGATTGCACAGTGGGCAGTACCTACCTAGGTATATGTTGTTTTTTTTTATTTCAAATTCTCATTGATACGTCATAAGTATGTTTATACAACAAAGCATATTTTTTTTAAAGACTATTTGTTTTCATTAATGTTTCAAACGGTAACACACATATTTTCATTCAACACTACTTTAAAAATGTATTGGTAACATATCATATTCGTATATATTTACTAATATGTGTACTGAAGTTGTTATACTGCGTTGTAAGGGTTTTACGTCCCACACATGAAATACAGATTATCCTTTTATTATCACTATACATGTATAGTTTGATAATAAATAATAATTTATAATATTAAAATGTTTGTTAACTATATTGTTTTAAAAACTACCATGTGATAAAATGATTGAGGACTTTATAAAAAAAAACCTTGATTTTCTATAAAATTTCTTATACCAGTTATGTATACCGATTGGCAATTTCTGTATTATAAGTTTTAATTTATAATAATATAATAGGTATGTAGTTAAAGTGAATATGAAATTAATGTCTATATTTATTCCATATTGGATGTCTGAAAATTGTCTATAACATGAGTTATTTCCAAGCGCTAAATGTAAATCCGTTTAACAATTAACTTATAACGTAATAAAAATAAGGTATATAATATATTATTTGTGCTATTTTTAATCTGTTCGTAGTTTACACCTATAAACATTTAATAGCCATACAAGTGCGATAACTAATTTATATTAATCACATAAGGAAGGAACGGATTTATATGTCGATAAAAATATAGCCGATCAAAATGTAGTAAATATTTTTATTGCTCATATTGTTTTCCTCGTACTCATAGTTGGCCAATTCAGGGTTTCTCAAAACAATAACACGAATATTTGCTATGCAGTTGCATAAATATAAGCAAACAATATTTTTAATAACTAACAAAGCACTTAAACAATAACTTAAGGTATTTCCCTTATAATATTTTAAATTTAAATTTATTTATATTTAAATACGGGTTGAATCCAATTACACGATAGGTATATTAATGGAGTTTGAATACATAGAATAACATACATTTAACATTTATGAAAAATAGTGATACGTTACTGTTGTTACTTGTTAGGTAATTATACAAACAACGTAAGGTGATGGGTCGTGTAGGTCAGTTTCATAATTCTATAATAATATTGCGATTGGTAAAATAATTATACAATTGATAAAAGAAACACGGGACATTGAACGAAAAAAGGTTTCAGATACTGAAAGTTGGGACCCTAAAGTTAACTGTATATAGCATATTCCAAGGGCATACACTTTACCATCAATATAAGCGTTTAATACGAGTAGAAAGAATAACATTAAATTTCCGTATTTTCTTACAACATAATATGGTATGTGTCATAATGTTATATTATATATGATTCGAGATTAAAAGATAAATTATCATATTCTTTAATGAAATAATATAATACACTATAATATAATGAACTTATAATATTGGGGTGTTTGCTAATTATTATCTGATGTACTAATAATAATATTATTCAGATATATACAATAGATAGGCGTATACTATCTTATTAATTCAGAGTTCAAATCTCGGATGATTTAGAAATTCATCATATTGTGTGTTACTTATGAGTTATGACAATATGATAACATAATATATAAGTATAATGACTATTGATTTCTTTTGTTTAATAACCTAAGTTAATATCAATCATACGAAAACGTGAAAGTTTAATTATTGCCAATGCCCAATATTGCTATATCCTATCGTGTAACGAGTTTGCCATCTACGTGTAACATATATTTAAACAATACATCATTTTTTATCTGTTACGTACAAAAATGCAAAATAAATTGTAATTATTATTTTCATTTGAATTATTACTATATAATGGATTAAAAAAATGTCTTATCCTATTTGAGACAAAAAACAACAATTTTCTGAATAGAAAATACACTTGATTGGTACAATATAAGTTAAATATACTCACTCAAGTATATTTTATTTTGATATTAAATACAAACATTAGGAATCAAAATTATTATCATAAAATGATAAATAACCAAAGTGGAAAGTTTGATTTTGGCCTAACTAAATTTAACATGTTAAAATGTACGTTATGAAAACGATAAATACATATTTAAAAAGCATGTGGTCAATGGTCATTATGGTCATTACAATTCTAAAAGTTATAAAATGTCTGTGTCAGTAGGTACAATATTATTAGTACATAAAATGGGTATTGCCGTATGGGTAGATGAAACGAATATAATATTATTGTTACAGAGTGTTCTAAAATTCTTCATCTGATTTCAAAAATCATATACCTAATATGATGAATATATAATAATATATTTATTGTAAACATTTGTGAAAGTTGGGATAAGCTTTATAAATTAGAAATTACATTACATTTTCATTTCTACGTTTAGAAATATTCGATGTTTGACCCATCCCACTAAACCCCTTTATTTGCACAGCAAATACCTACCTAAGTGATATTCAATTTCCTCACAAACCTATTGAATCATGTGAACCGTAATCAAGTTTTATATGGCATCTACTAATAATGCGGCTTTTGAGCTTATAAAGATCTCGGAGAAGGGGGGGGACATATACACATAGCCACATAGATAACACATTGTATTTTATGTACCTACTATCACAAATGAATAAAAGGGTGGTTAACTACAACTGATTGAAACGCTTCACTTGACTCAGGGGTTCCTCAACGCAATCCACTAACAGTCAAAATACTTGAGAATCCCCTTTATACATTTGTTGAAAAATATTTTTAATTAGGTACAGATATTTCATAATTATACTTTATAATAAATTATATGATAATGTATGAGCTATAATTAATTACGAAACTTTGTCGCTTCAGGGTAGGATGGGCTACACGAGAACTGGCAACAGTGCAATGGACCAAAGAGGTTGGCAGGAGTTGGCTACGTGCAGTCCCATGCTGGCGTTCCCGGTTGAAGGACAGCATCACCATCAGTCCCACTATGGTCAGCATCCGCCTAGCGCGCCCAGTTACCCGCCCGGGCCTGGCATGTATCACCATCCACATCACCATCAACACAATCACCACCATCACCAACACAACAATCACAACAACACGGGAAACGTGCTGTTGCAGAACGTAAGCCTGTGCGCGCCTCCGCCGCTGCCACCTCCGCCACCATCGACGTCCATTGTCATGGGCGGAGGCCACGCAACCACGTCGTCCTCGTCTTCGTCCCTATCACACTATCATCACCACTCTTCGTCGATCGGTAAGTTATCCACTTATAATCATAAGTCTTACCCTATACCTCGATATCACCCCTTGTTACATTTCAATTGTATCTATATAAATACATACTAAAATACTAAATACTCGCGAGCACTTTGAGAAAACAAATTTCGCTGCGTTATCACTGCAAACTGTTGAATACTGTGGGTGTAGAAATCTTAAATAATATTTCGATGTTTGTTGTGTTATCATATTATATTGAGTTCGCCCCCTCCCCTGGTAATCCGTCGTGTAGAATAAATAGTTTTATTACAACAAAAAATATATAAAAATGTGAAAAAAAATTATGCCTAGACAAACAGATTTTATAGACAATGATTTTCACAAATTTTTACTGACTGTATAGTTCTGTTTGATGACTTTGTAATTTTTATAGGTGGAGCATATAATATCCTTACTGTTAAATATTTTATTTTACCTATATCATTACAATAATTTCACAGGACCAAAAACTTGCTCGAACTCAGCGTAACGTTTTCTTTTTTCTCATGATCGCTCTTGTGTATTATAGTAGAAGCCCTACAAACACATCGCTACGTTCAACATACAGCCCAATAGTCCGTATTTTATTATTATTATTACTAACTGAAGTAGTTAAACTTTTAAAATTATTGTGAAGTATTTCTTTATTAATTTGTTAGACAATTACACGGCAAACAATAATATTGTTTAATAAAAATATAAATAATATACAACGTCTGTTTTTGTTATGCTGCAGGTGTGTCAACCAATTGCAATCTCAGCTCGGCCGTCGCTACATCCCTTCACTTGCCCGGCAGCTCATCCGAACAGCCTGCTGCGTTCAAGACGGAACCACATCAACACGAAATGATGTTTCCCTATCAGGTAATGGTCGCTATGAACCGTTCACTAAGTGTACTATTTCGATTGGGTATACAACAAACGTGTTACCGTTCATTAGTCAAAATTAAGTTTTGCTATTTTATATTAGTTAGATATAATTTTGGAAATATTCTTTTAATTTTGACCCACAAACTCCAAACCGGATCGAATTTTCTACCAAAAATATAGAAACCATCGCCAATATTGAAAATTGAAGATTTTTCAGATACACATTTTTATTTTATTTATTGATATATACACAATCAGTACCTATAATAGGTACAATAAGAGTATTAGATAAAATAAATAAATTACATAAATACTTGATAAAATAGAAGCCACCCTGCGATGATGACACTTTCAAAGATACACACATTAAAAAAAAAAACAAATTTTTCATTGTACTCAGAAAAGAAAAACAAATTAATACATTATTAAAAAGTAAGATACAACCTAACCCAAAGATTATCTATTTATCTATCCCACTCACAAATAGGTACGTCATTGATAAAACATAGTAAAATAAATTAAATAAATACAATGCAGCTTTAACAGCTTAGTGGCCGTAGATCTAGACAATGATATTCGTTTATAATGTAGTATATTATTATCTTACATTTTTTCGTACATTTAGAATCACAATAACGAAATGGCCCCTTCATCGGACGGACTTTTGTCGTCAATATTGAACGATGACGACTTGCAGCTCATGGATCCGGCGATGGGTGCAGACGGTAAGGATGCAAAAACCCAGTAAATAAATTCAGTATGTAATTTTCGGGCGTTCATCCTTGTCCTATATTTAGGTGGCATGTACCCGGTTCGGATGATGGAAACCGCCAGCAGCTCAGTGCCGTGCAACAGCAACACGATGAACACCGCGACCATGGTACAAAACGGTAACGCAGGTGGCGGAGACTCGGACAGCGCGGTCAGTTCGATGGGCTCGGAACGCGTGCCTTCACTGTCGTCGGACACGGAATGGATGGAAACCAACTCGGATAGCGGACACAACGACGGATATCCGTCGCACTCCCTTCAAGAATATGGGTATGTCCTACATCAGGTTATCGTGTTACAAATGATGATGATTTATACATTTGCCATTTTGTCAGATTTTATATTTTATAATAAGTACCTACATATTATACAGCTTGTAACAGAAAGTGTAAACTAACACTTATTATAATATAGTTTTTACCCTAGTAATATTGGTAGTAATGTTATGTAATTACGATAAGCATTTATTTTTAAAGAGTTAATTTTCTTACTTATAGGTAATTCAAACCCTATTACTTAATTACTTTAATTTCAATATTTGATCAATATTTTAACATTTTGATTAAACATCAACTAGGTACCTAATAGGTACTAGGTATAGTATTATATTTTCAGATATTCTAACAGTTTTGTCTTCAAACTTATTCGACGAAACACATTGGACTCGAACGTTCATAGGAAATTTAAACTACATCACATTTCAAATGTTGATTCTAAGGAAAAAATACAATACCAATTGAAACATGAATTTGGGGGAAAATTAGAGTACCTAATCGATGATTAGGGTATCAATATATTAAAGTGCTGTAACTTTCGCGCTACCTATATACAATATACTTACCTAATAATATAACATACTAGTAACATACTAATTACTAGCTGTACATTGACATAGGTAGGTAATATATTATGTTATATATACGCAAGTACGCAACATTTCTGTATATAATATATAATATATATATTTATTGTATGTGAAATTGTACTTGATTAGTGAATATTATTAAAATTATTATTATTTGGCTTCAGAAAAATGAGGTGGCTGGACAATTACCTGTATTCCGGAAGCCGAGGTCATTCGGCTGCCCCGCAAAAGAAGTACCAGTTGTACGGGAGACGCCTAACAGATCCCGTATCAGGTAAATATTATAAAATAATAATTATTTAAATAGCAATGTTGAAATGCGTGCAAATGCAACGGTTAAATAATTTTTGTCTCGTGATTTAATTTTGTTACCTGTACATTTTTAGGGACCCCGAACGCCACCGAAGCTGCTAGGTCGAATCATGGAGGTCTCGTGCCCGATTCCTTGAATCTGCCCTATGATATGTCTGTCAGAGAAGGCATCCCAGTGCCCGGTTCTTCACAGTTTAACAGACACAATATGGCCGGTACTTAATTTTTAATGTGTTCTTATTGCCTATACTAATTTATATAGTTTTGAATTTTCTTACTTTCCGACTAGATTGCTTAGCCTAAAATAGACTTAGCCCCCATCAAAAAAAAAAAAAAAACAACCATTGGTTCAAAATATCCAGAATATAAAATTCGATATTAAATTAGTTTAGTCAATATTAAGGGGGCTATTAAAAAAAATATTATTGTAAAAATGTTAAATTACTCCTGTATACCTATCGGTTTGATTTTTATACTTCATGGATATATCGTTGTTTATCATACTGCATAGTGCATAATATTATTTACTGATTTTGGTCTGAATCTTAAGGTTGTTCACGTGTGATGACTCCCGAAAACCAAGTGGCCCTCAACCATACGTATGCACTGCCTGTCGAAGGTCCCAGGATACCGCGTAACAAGCTCAAGAGCAGCAGTAAGAGGAGTGAGGATGAACAGTTGACAAGAGACGAGAAGAGGGCCAGAAATCTGAATATTCCCATCACGGTAGATGACATAATCAATCTGCCCATGGACGAATTTAACGAGAGACTGTCCAAATACGATCTATCCGAAAGTCAACTTACATTAATTAGAGACATTAGGCGTCGTGGAAAAAACAAGGTCTGTTGAGCCGTATAATTATTAATATCAATTATTATAAATTATTTTAATATAGGTCTATTGTCGTTTTGGAGATATATTTTCTTAAAAATATTAATAATATTTTATTTTTTTAGGTTGCTGCTCAAAATTGCCGGAAACGCAAGCTGGACCAAATCCTCAGTTTGGCTGACGAGGTGAAACAAATGAAAGACCGAAAGTTCAATCTGTTACAAGAACGGGAATATCTAATGACCGAGCGTATGAGAGTGAAAACCAAATATGATCTACTTTATAACCATATTTTTGGAGTAAGTTGCACTTTTGATAAACATATTTATAGAAGGATACATTTGTTAATATAGACATACATTTTTATTACAATTGTTTGTTTGTATAGAGTTTAAGAGATCCTGATGGAAATCCCTACTCCCCGTACACTCATACGTTGCGTGAGCAGCCCGACGGCAGTGTCAGTATTGTACCCAGAAATAATGGTACCCAAACCGACCGGAATCCTCGGTCCAAGCAACACAAGGACAAGTAATCTTGGAAATTACTTGATGTCCGGTTATATTTTTATACCAAAATGCTGTGATAAATACTGTGGGTGGTGGTCAAATCACCTCAAAATTATCAGGGAGCCGTGTGTACTTAATAATTTTGCTCAAACATAATATTATACACCTTTTTTACATTTTAATCCTAAAGACATCAGATTAATTAGATACTCCTTGATAAAAACTTTATTAAATTATTTTTAAAATAAGCTATTATTATGTTTTATTAAAAAAAAATTATAAAAACCATAAAAAAATTAATGAATCATAATCTTTTTTCCTTTTTTTTTTTTTTTTTGTTTTGTATATTTGCAACTATTTTTTACTTGACTTGTGTTAAAATATTACACTGAACAAATATTTTGCTCAGTCATATAAGAAAAATTTCTCATAGTCATGTATTACGTTTTTTCTTTTTTCTTAACAAAACTTTGTCATTTCTTGAATAGGGAAACGGATGGTATTGGTTGAATTTTTAAAATTCATTATAATTTATTAATAACTTGGTTAATTTCTATAATTTATTGTAAACTATTTTTTTTTTCTCTAACCACGATGTGTTGAAAATAAGATAATATATCGTAGTTTTTGGTTTATTAATATTGTATGTAAATTAAAATATATATTGTAATATTAGAGAATAATTTATAAGGTGGATAAATTGTATAACATTTGAATATCTTTGGTTATAATTTGTATTTGTGGTGACAATTAGGTTGGTGTCTATATTTTATCATATAGGTATACTGTAATATTATTTATTTTGTAACTGAGAAAAAAATGTATAATTTTTTGTATATTATAACTTGTATTACGTACAATTTAGTATAATTAACATTTTTAATAATATTTTCTTTTTGCCTAATCTGAACGACTTATTGTTGATTACTATTTAATATCTATATTAATACCTACTTGTCACAATATTTGACTATCTTACATAACAATACAATATGCGTTTGTATGTATTTTCACTTCCTCTATATATTGATATGTTCAATATTGTTTAGGAAGATGCACAAAATATGACTAAATGCATTTTAGATTAAGCCATGTTTTATTTAATATCAAATTATATAAATTTTCTGGTGTTAAAATTAATTTTTCTTAATTCATTAATTAATTAAACAATTATTTCTAATTGTCGACCTGCACTCCCATATTTCCGCTTTGCCAAACCGACACAATCATTGCACGGTTGAGACAAAGAAACAAGATATTTTGAAATTAATACATCATGCCTAGAAAAAACCAATATAAATATTTGGTGAAAAATGCAAGTCTCTACAAACATTTATTTTGAAAGAAAACCAAATAAATTTTGTCAAAAATTGTTTTTTGTAAAAATTAACTATCACCATTAATTGTATTTTTTCCCCTGATTATCTTTAAAAATACTGTTAATTTCTCATTTTTCATTCCCTAAGGTCTAACTTGATCCGATTTTTATAAATTTTTTATGATTATAGGTGATTCAAGTTCAAATGTTGACGACATTGGAAATCTCATTTACATTTTCAATAACATTTTATTTTATCAAATAATTTTATAAATACCTGCCCATGCCACAAAAAAAAAACCCCAATATCACAAGTGTGATATCCTGGCACCCCAAGGTCGAAATGTTGACCTTAAAATTGTTTGGTATTATATTATTTACTAGCTGATCCCGTGCACTTCGTCGCCCGTTAAATGGATCAACTCAATACTACCTACTCAAACTTTGTTCAATTCATTAACGTGTATGGTGTTCAAAATTTATCTTATCTTTCCCGTTGCCCTGAATAAAAATTCTGAATCGCGGCAGTACATTATCAGGTAGGCAATCTACCTGCGGTAGATCGCGGACCCCGTGCTGTTTGTACGGAAGTGTATGATTTAACTCTAAAGTATCAAAGTTATACCAAGTTTATTTTGATGTAATACTGTGGATTATAATATAATAAATTTGGTTGCTCGTAAAAAATCGCAACTCTTAAAAAAATTATGATTGTTGAACTCCTTTTGGGTGTAATTTTCTGCGGTAAGTGCAACTCTGCCACCCTGGTAAGCATTGTTCAATAATTCGATTTGATGCAAGCTTGTACCTGATCTGCCCGAATAACCAATGGCAACCAATAAATAAATGCCAATTTCTAATGTAGACTGTAACCAATGGCAACTATAAATAAATAAAAATAAAATTTCCAATTTCTATCGTGAATCTCAATGGCCCTGTTTCAGCACCTATTTAAAATGCGAATTTTGGCAAATCCTTTCTTAGCGCACGTCTATATTATAATAGCTATCTGTATGCCAAATTTCAGCCAGATCCGTCCAATGGTTTGAGCTGTGCGTTGATAGCAGTCAATCAGCTTACTGTTTTTTGTATACAGATATGGTTGCCATGGTAATATGGACACACACACACACACACACACACACTGATATACATTCATTTTTATATATATAGATTGATATGAAATCTTGGTAACCTTAGTAACCATGGCAACCTTGGTAACCATGGTAACATGGACACACAGACACACAGACTGACATACATTCATTTTTATATATATAGAAGATATGTAAATATTTGTAACCACAAAAAAAAAATTTGTAACCAAACCGGTGCCCTGAAAAACCTCGTTCACAGTTCCTTTGGCCCTTGACCAGAGTGACGTTACCCCAGGGCCCAGAACCTTAAACATTGAACAATTAAAATGTTGGCTTGAAATCTGTCAGGTATTATGTTATTTATTATGTAACAATTTGTAACCATAAAAATAACCTAACCAGCTGTCCACAGCGCCATGTCTTATTTGATAAGTGCATCTTTATTAAAAATATGAATAATAATGTCTAGGCGACATAACCTTACAGTTAGTGGTTGTAATAATAATTATAAAAATTTCAATGTTGACAACTACAACTGTGACCAAACCGGTGCCAGGGTAACATTACACCAGCAACCCAAACATTAAATAATTCAAATTTTGACTTGAAAACTGTTTGGTATTATGCTATTTATTGTGTAACGATTTGTAACCAAAAGTACCTGGTGCCAAGTTAACGTATTATGTAAAAAAAATTGTATAACTTATTTTAAGTAAAATTTGGAAAAAATTACATATTAAACCCAAGAATCTATAATAATCTTCGAATTTTAAAATATTATTTGTTGATTATTGGTACTTAAAACTTTTAGAGTAGGTAGGTATATTTATTATATTTCAGATAAACAATAACATTTTCAAATGTAATTTTTTCAATAAAAATGAAAATGTAATTTAAAATTCCCAATAGTTTTCAAAAGCACCGGTGTCGCATGTTTCCAAACCTTTAAATGTTTTTACTTCCGGTGGTAAAATTATTCTAGGATAACTTTATGGGGGCTAAAATAAATGGAAGTATAAGAGTTAGGCATTTTGTTTAGTATCAAGGAGCTTGGAGATAACAGAGCTGAGGAGAGTGATTAGAGGATTGATAACAGATTTGAATTTATAAAATGTTCAACTTTTATAGCTAATGATTGAAAATTTAAAATAAGATTCTACGTAAATAGGTTATATATAAATTGCTTTATTCACCTTAGTATCATCAAATATACTTAGTAATATAATAGGCTGACTAACCGTCTTCGCTCAGAATCGTTTTTCTTATACAATGATGTTAGTACATCATTGAATTCAAATTTAATACCATCGATTATACAGGGACCCACTTGTACCCTACTGTACAGCAGAGCACCTTTTTTTGTTTATCAAACTTAAATAACTTTTATTTTGGTTTTGATATCGGAAATATAAAAACAAAGTTACAGAGTAAATTTTCTCATTTTTATAGTGTGAAAATTTAGTTTCTTAGCTTAGAGTAGAGCCTGAATGTTTTTTATACCCGTGCAAAACAGTTTTGCCTATGTTGTACCTACGTCTGTAATACGGAGACAACACATGTGGGTGTACCTAGCCTCTTCTTTACAATCATACAGACTATTTGATACATTGCACTTTAGAAATTATTGTATACACTATACAAATTAAATCTAATGCAATGCAGAAATATTAGGATTAGGAGGTGTGAACCATAAATTATCCCAGCACCCCCTGAATTCACACCCAATGTGTGCCTATGGCTGTCAATAGAAAATTAGATGATTAGAAGTATTGATTGGTCAAGTATTATAAAAGAGTTTGTGAACAAAAAAATAAGAAAATATTTTAATTAGTATTGTTCCATATTTGTCATTTAAATAGTTTTATAATATGTAATAATATTTTATTGTTAATAAAGAATAAAGATATATTTATTATTATAAGTCAATGCTTAATACATAGGTACTCCATAAATAACTAAAAATATAGGTGTTGCTTACTAGGAGGTATTTATTAGTTAATGAAATATAAACATTTTACATAATAAATATTCCAATTACCAGTACTATTTTAAAAGAAAGGATTATTATTCCAAGTTCCAAATAGATATTTAGTAATTAATTTAATAAGATATCTATGTAGCCATGTAGGTATAATAACTGTATGAAATGTAAGGTACTAACTTAATTTTTCGAGCGCAGCGAGGAAATTTTTTTTAAGTTTTTTATACTTTCATTAATATTCATAAAATACACCAGGGGCGCAAAATAATTTTGCCCCCCATATGTGAACCCTTAATGCGCCCCTGCTGCTTTAGATGAGGTTTCTGATTTAGTTTGAGTTGATTTTAATAATAGTTTTAATATAATATAACTAAATATAATAATATAATATAATATAACTATTTAATAATAGTTTTCTTCCAAAACAACTTAACCCACTAGTTTTCCGAGCAATGTAAAAATCAAATTGTAATGCACCAAAACATGTGCCAATAGATAAAAACCTTAAATTAAAAACAAATTTATGTACAATTTACTTATTTACTGTATTATGACTGTAATGTGTGTGTTTTTATTTTTTAAATTAAAAATTTCTTTTAAATGAAACTTCTATATGCGCTCTGGGAGTAA